CAACAGTTACTAGGTTTTATCCAAATCTTAAAAAGAGCTGTTTTTGTCCCCCACCTGCCCCTAGAACAACTGCTCCCTCTACAACCACATCTGGTTCGTTTAGTTCTACTTCTGTTCCACTATTCACAACTTCTACCACATCTAGTTCTACATTTGATCCTTATAGTATTACTTCCATGTCAACTTTTACTTTTACCACTTCAAGCTCTACGTCAGGTCCAATTAACACCTTTTCTACACCAAGTGTTTCCATTTCCATCTCTTCGAGCTCTACATCTGGTCCTCATACTGCCACTTCTTCCCCACCATTTTCAACTTCTTCCACTTCTGGCTCCACCATCCCTTTTACTACATCGGCGATTAATCCAACTACATCTGGATCTTCTACATCCATCCCTGTTAGCAGTTCACCTGGTTATACATCTTCTGCATCAGTCACTACTAACTGTACATCTAATCCTGTCAGTTCAACATTTGTCCCAGATTCTACCAACACTCCACAGTTTAGTAGCACACCTGACTTTACTACCACCACAACTGGTTCTTCAACCTCTGATCATTCCACCACCCCAATAGACCATTCTACAACAAAGTCCACACATCATTCCCCCAGTCATGCCAGCACATTCAGTTCTTTCACTTCTACTTCTGTCAAAACTGGGACCTCTGGTTCTACATCAACCGTTTTTACTACAACAGATGGTACTTCCACCTCTTTAAGTTCTTTGCCAGAATCTTTTACAACAACTTATACACCTGGCACTTCAGCTGTCATAACTGAACCAGAATCATCAGATACACCTACAACAATTATTCCACTAACAACCACTGTTCCTGTGACTCCAACATCGTTACAAAGAGCTACCACCACCACCCGTTCAATATCAGCTTTCCCAACAACTACTAAACCCCAAACTACTGTCACTCCACAAACATCACCAACCCCTACAACTACCACCACAACCACTCTTACTACAAAGGTATCAACTACAACCACCACCACCCCAACATTTACCACCAAAACTACTACAAAAAAGAAAAAAAATGAGGATGAAAAAGAACAGGAAAAAAATCCCGAAAGTCCAACAAATGGTCTTGTACCCCCTCCCATAGTACCCCCTCCCATCATACCCCCTCCCATAGAACCCCCTCCCATAGAACCCTCTCCCATCACACCTCCTCGAATTTTCCCCCCTCCCCTTCTATCCCCTACAATCAATGCACTGACATTTCCTAAGACCTCTAACCCCACTCCCAAATATTCCGCCATTCCACCAACAACTGAACCTAAAATGTCAGATACATCTTTAGCAACTATTCCACTAACAACCAGTGTTCCTGTGACCTCAACATCTTTACAAACACCTACCACCACCACCCATTTAACCACAACATACCAAACAACAACTAAACCCCAATTTGCTATCACTCCACTAACACCAATATTTTTTACAATAACCAAAAGTAATGTTTTAACAACAATCACATCCACTACAAAGGTATCAGCTACAGCCACCACCAAAACCACCCCAATCCCAACCTCTACCACCAACAACTACCATCACTACCCATTTACCCATGACTTTCCCAACAACAGTCCTGCCTCATCAACAATTTCTGCCACTTCTAGCACAGATAAGGAAAATGATTTGACCCATTCTTCTCCAGCTGCTGATACAGTCACAGCCATGGCTCAAACACCAGAAGAAAGTAGTTCTACTGAGTCTTTGCTACCCACTTTTGCAGTTTCTACAACGAGCCATAGCACTCTAGGAATTAGCTCCACTAAACTTCTTCCAGCTTCTTCTGTAGCTACAGTCACAACTCAACAAGTGGAAGGTAGAACTTCTAACGACTCTTATTCAACCTCTATTCTGGGTTTTACGAACCAGACCACCCAACACTCTTTCACAAGTAGCACTGTAACTACTCAAAACTCAACTGATGTCATGGTCTGCATCTGCATCTCCCTCATGTGTCTCCTTGCGTTCTCCATCCCCCTCTAGGATCCCCTTATATGTCTCCTTGTGTTCCTCATGTGTCCCCTTGTCTGCAGCCCCTCCAGGTCCCCCCCCCCCCCCCCCCCCCCCCCAGGTCCTGTGCTCCCGTTGGTCTCCCCTAGTCACCCCTCTGTAGTTTTTCTATAGGTTCAGCTTTTCATTTAATTAGTCTCTTTTAGTGTGTTTCTTTCCCCACCGGTTTTTTGGTTCTCCTTCCTCCTTTGGTCATTAGTTATTTATGCTCTTTTTGCCTTTAGGTTTTGTTTTTATTCTTAGGTCATGTTATTATCCCCTCCTCAGCTCACTTTCCTCTCACTGATTAGTTAATTAATTTCACTAGGTTTCTCTCCCCACACACCTGCAGCTCATCTCCCACTCATCCTGCCCCAGTGTATTTAACCCTGTCTGTGTCTTAGGCCCTGTCCACACGTAGCTGGGGATCTGCCAAAACGTAGATATTTTTCTACGTTTTGGCATGTCATCCACACGAAAACGGAGTTTTTTCACATGAAAACGGATCTTTTTAAAAACTCCGGCCAAAGTGAAGATCTGCGTTTTCTCTGTTTTGGGTGTCTGCGTGTGGACGGACAAAACTGGAGTTTTAAGGTCCGCAACGTCACTTTCCGCGACAAAAGAATGCTGACATCACGTGTGCGACCTGTGTTTACACTAGCCGACAGCATGGATGCCCTCAAAGCTGTGCTCGCTTTATCAATTGTCCAAGCGCTTTTTGCTTGTTTGTTTTTGCAAGCGGAATTACTGCTCCTTACGGAAGACCACAGACGAAGGACGAGGTTAAGAACGGGGGAAGTACTGCCGCCTACAGGTCTGGCATGTCCTTAACAACGTATTTATCCGGGTACGTGTGGACAGTTTTTTTTAAAAAACGAGGTGGTGTGGATGCAAGTTTTTGGAGGGGCGGATATTCGTTTAAAAAAAAACCTGGCTACGTGTGGACTAGGCCTCAGTGTGGTGTTGGTTCATTGTTAGTGTCAGCCTCGTCTTTTTTATATTAGAGAAATCAGAGATCATAGGTTTCCTCACTGAAATAAGGGGAATTCATACAAATCACACAGAAACCTGTGCATGCCAGTTTTATCACAGACGGGTTGGACTGGTTTCCGAAGCACTTCTGATTATTTACCAAATACTTTTTTAACTTCCAAACAGAAAAGGCACCTTTATATTTGTCTTTCTGAAACTTGCTTCTTGCTTAAATACACACACACACACACACACACACACACACACACACACACACACACACACACACACACACACACCCGCACACCTACAAAACCTGTATGCACCCACACCTGAGCTCTCCGCTCAGCAGCAACAAACGCTCACTTGATTTTGACTGCATTTTTAAACAATTTCATTTTGAAACAAATCGTAACAGCACAAAGGCTTCATAGTTTTTGTGATTATAAAAGTCTTTTAAGTTCATTACAACCTTTATTTTCTCATAAATGAGCCGAGTTAGTAACTCTGTGAAGCCCAGAGAACCTCGGCGGAGCGGGTCGAGAAGAGCCTGCTGCCTGTCCGAGAGTCCGGGCATGATGGATGAGAGACAGATCAGCGGCCACGCCGTTTGTCAGAGACAAAGGAATAGCAGCAGCAGGTTCAGGGGTGGGGGCATCTATCATTTTATCCCAAGCCCCAACCACACTGTCTTCTGGCTTGTGTTTAGTAATGAACTCATTTTGATAAAGCATAAAATAAAAATAGTCTCTTTTATTTATTGGTTTGTTTTGAATTTCATAGGGAAGCTTTTCAAATGTACGTATAATCTTTGTCTCACTCATCTTAAAAAAAACAAAAAAGCTGTAAATAACTGAGCTAGCCAATGTAAGATGTTCATTTTGTTTACTTTGGATTTTTACAAATTCAATGTCTTTATGCAAAACAGAATGACAAGGAGAAATTTGGCTTTTATTGAGGAAACATGAGGTGTAATATTTGTACTCGAAGCTGTAAGTTTCAGGTTAAAGGAAACAATGGAACAAAAATTCCTGAGAATTAAAGGATGCGGGAAGATGAAGCATCAGAATGAGGAAGGAGGAAACAGAGCTCACACGATGATGCACCTGTTCAGCATGAGGAAACTACACGCTATAAAAAAGAACAAAAGAGAGAGAGAGAGAGAGACAGTTGCTGCAGATTGTGTGAGTATTCATTTCATCCTGGTTGATTTCTGCTGTGATTAAATGTCGTGTTTTATTTTTATTCTCCTTCCTTCAGACTCTGCTTATTTCTCAGTTGTTTGTTAGGATTTTTATGCAGATTTTTGTAACTTGGCTTTTTTTTATCTCTGTTATTTTATTTAATTACACAACTTTCTGTCTAACTTGTGTTAATTTATTAGCATGTTGCACAGAAAAAAAAGTACTTTTATTTCTGATCATTTGGAATCTCTTCAGTTTTTCAAATTTGATAAACGTTTTTTGGGTATAGACTTTCTACATTTAGTTATAACCACTGATGTTTATGTAGAAGTTTGTCTACAAGAGTTTACATCTGTTTATGGTAAATGGTAAATGGCCTGTATTTGATATAGCACCTTCTAGAGTCCTGGAACCCCCCAAGGCGCTTTATAACACAATCAGTCATTCACCCATTCACACACACATTCAATCACTGGTGGGGATGAGCTACAATGTAGCCACAGCTGCCCTGGGGCGCACTGACAGAGGCGAGGCTGCCGAGCACTGGCGCCGCCGGTCCCTCCGACCACCACCAGCAGGCAACGTGGGTTAAGTGTCTTGCCCAAGGACACAACGGCAGCGACATACTGAGCAAGCTCGAACCTGCAACCTTCCGATTACGGGGCGAGCACTTAACTCCTGTGCTACCGTCGCCCACTTATCTACTGAGTTTTGTTTTATTTTTGGTTTATAATTAGTTAACAATCTTTTTTTTTTTTTTGCTAATTTCCACACCTTATGATAGTCTGACTGGTTATATGACAGATAACCAGAGTCTGTGGAGCGAACCTCATCACCTAATTATGGTGTTTAAATAGCATCAAATAACAGCTCAATAGAATGTTAACAATACCCACACAGCAGACGTTCTATGGTTGTCAAAAAATGTCAAATTTTAAAATATTTTACTTCTCCTTTAGCTGAGTTGTACCAGGCTCTGAAGATGCTAGTCCTGAAGGTGCAGGACCTAATGGTCCTCACTGCTCTGCTGCTCTCCATCACGGGTCCCACAGAAACCAGAGTGGTGACTTCACTACAAGCCTGCCACAACTTCTTCTGTCAGCAAACTCCACCAAACATCCCAGGAATCTTGGCCCACGGAAACATCATAAACCAAAACAGATACAAACCCATTTGCCAAACTTTTGAAAACACGGTAACATTTGTGACACTTTATGATACCACCAACAAGATTCCAGTGTTTTCTGCCTATAAGTACACACAATATGCTACTGGAAGGCCACGTGACATTTGGATGATTGAACCACAGGTTTGTGTTTTTACACAGAACTATAGTTTAGTTGGTAGATGGATTTTTGTACATAGATAAGTTCTAAAAATATGTTTTCATGGAAACTCACTCTGATGATAATCATTGAATCAACTACATCAGATCAGCCGTATCTCACTGGTTGTTTCTGTTTTAATCATTTGTGAAGAACTAAAGATCTGAGGAACTCAGTATGTTTGTGTTATCTATTGTTAACCGTCTCTAATTCAGTCTTCATTCTGTTACAGCTTGAGAACCTTCACAGTGGTAACAACATGGAGATACCTGAAAGAAACAAGAGTTACCAATTCCAGGCTACGCCAGACGACTACGATAACAGTCAGAATTATCAGAAAGGACATTTATTACCAAACTCCTTTGGATCCAATATGAATGTAAAACAATCTACATTCACACTGACCAACGCTGTTCCACAAGTGGATACATTTAACACAGTGGCCTGGAGAATTATTGAAAGAGATTTGAAAAGCTATATGGGGAATTATTGTGTCAACAACAATGATCAGATAGAAGCTTATGTGGTGATCGGAGCACAGCCTGGCACGGACAACAAATTTCTTAACGGCAAGATTAAGATTCCTTCAATATTGTGGTCAGCCTTCTGCTGCTACAGCAAGAGAACGGGTACATGGCTGACAAGTGCTCAGTGGGGGAAGAATACAGACCACCCAGAACTTCAGAGTAAGACATTGAATGAATTGTATCACGTATTGGGTCATGGATTTGATTTGTTTCCCAACACACAGTGCCCTCGGGACTGTGAATGTACTTTGTCTGGCTGCAAACGACCCAGATCCTCCTAATATATCTTTATGTTATCTTGATCATTTCTAACGACCTTTGTAAGTCCTTCATCCTTTGTGCTGGTACAAGAAATAATGTATTTTCCAGTTATTTGCCCTGGCCAATAGGGTGACCACACCTCACCCCCATCCCAACCTTAACCCAGTTTCTTGTTCTAAATTTCCCATTTACCGTGTTTGAGAGGAACGATACAACAAGAAACAAAGTGTTTCATGTGCAAATGAGTTAAGGTTAGGATGGGGGTGAGGGGAAAGTTAAATTGCAAGAGAGTAAAGGTCACAGTTCGCTAAAATCTCCGTTTTACCACAGGCGTCTGAAAGCGATGCTTTGGCCCAGTGCGTCGCCTCCCGAATAAATGCTGGTCACCCTTCGCCATTTTTCGACGCTTTGGGTGTAAGAATGTGTTGGCTTTACCAGTTCAAGCATGTGAGGGACTAAAAAGGACTTTGTGATTAGGTTAAGGTTGTTTTCCAACTAAGGGTTCTTGCTATTCATTACTGTGAAAATAATATTAAATGAATAAAAAATAACAATAAAAGTTCTCACCTTACCCAAGTTGTCATATAGAATATGTTTAATGTCATGTAGTTTTCAACAAGGTGCTTTCCTTCACATACATAATAAACTAACGCTGACATTTGAAACAACAGCGAATCACATTTAGCTGTTGAAAGTGGATCTTTTCTTGGCCAATCTGTTTTACTTTATTGAAGCCATACTTTGCAACTTTTTCATGTTTTTAAATCATTTTTCGGAGGTGTGGACTTGAGACACATGACTTGGACTCGAGTCAATATTTTAATGACTTCTGACTTGACTTGATAAAATCTATAAAGACTTAGGACTTGACTCGGGCTTGAACGCCAATGACTTGCGACTTGAATTGACTTGCGTCTGTTGACTTGATGATGAGTGGCACGACGTGGACAAAAATTATAAATCGTTCTTCGTTCTGGGTTTGATCTTGTTCTGCTAAATGCAGCAGCACTTTGTTTATAATCAGTTTCAGTTGAACTTTCTGCTTGTTTGAGCAAATAAATGAAGCTTTAAGAAGCTTTATTTCTGGAATTTATTTATTATCATTGTCATTAAACTGAAGTTGGACAAATGACTTGATTATGACTTGAAAATTCAAAGTTAAGGACTTGGACTTGACTTGGACTTATAGTTGTCTTTGACTTGGACTTGACTCAAAACTTGACTGGAAAGACTTGTGACTCAATTGGGACTTGCAAAGCAGTGACTTGGTCCTACCTCTCTCATTTTCCTGAGCCAGTATGTGCTAATGAACCTTTACAGGGTAGAAAAAAACCTAAATCATGGTTTAGCTAACATAATCTAAAAGGCCATTTTTCATCTGCAGTCCCTGAACAGTATTATTTAATAATCTGGGTTTTTCTGGTATCCCTGCTTCTGTGGTGAAGAAAAGGTAAACATTCAGGAAATGTGGGAAGTCGGTCCAGTGGACATGAAGTCTTCTCGGCAAGGCTTCTGAACATTAAAGGCCATAGCTTCCTCTGAATCTGCACGGCTAGTCAAACGTTACCATCTGGGTGTCTGCTGGCAGCTCTGATGGAGTTGTTTGCACCTGATGGAGTTTTGCAGGTTAAATTAAACAACAGTTGTTGAACCTGAAAATGGTTGATTCTATGCCGCTAAAAATATTCTGTGGAAAGACCTGATTTGATCTCCCAAGAGGTGCTAATTTTAGCAAATGAAGCAGGAACTGAATTTTAGAGGAAGTGTATTTCTCTATCAAGGCTCTGTGTTGGACCAGTCAGATGCCAGAGAATGTAGGAGGCATCACACCCTTTTCTAGGAAACCCTCTAAAGGAATATTTCACCTATTAGGTGAAGCAAATATGATATAACTGTCATTTGTTAAATATCAATAATAATATGTGACATAACTGATAATGAAATCATTATTAAATCAAGTAGATTAGTTTGGTAAATTTAAGATCTGAAATAATATGTTTCAACAATAAACAAGTTATTGTGATTTATTCATTACTGTCAAGCAATCAAATCTTATTAAATTCACTTTATGTTCATGGGTCTATGATTGTAAGCATCTGTAAAGTGAGAAAATCATTGTATGAGACAGAATAGGATTATTTTATTAAAGTTAGAGAGAAGTTCTGTCTTTTTCTTGGAGCCTTGTGAGTTGCAGGCCAGATAAGGACTCAGGAGATGGAACTGGTATGACTGTTTCCCCAAGCTCAAACTCTTATATATGACGATTAACTGATTGAAAAACATACTTTAAAATGAAAGCCTTTAGACTGAAACATGATTATATTGATTAAACATGAAAATCATTATCAACAACGCACACACACTCACACCTCCACACATACAGACTCCCCTCCACACACGCACACAATCACACACACATATACCATGTGTTTCTATGGCTACACTGTGATTTCTTAGTAAATATTCTATTTAGTAAGATCAACTTTATTATCTTTATCCTAGTGAATCTATAATTAAATCAACAGGTGAACTAGTGGTAGCACATTCAATGTCAAAGAAAGTAAAGTCTTAAAGTGGTCAGGAATTTATTTATCACCTACCAAAGCTAATTCAAGCACTGTAATAACTTTTTATGACGTGTGTTGGGGTTTACCCCGGGGGACAAGAGGGTAGCTTCCTTGCGCCTTCGGGTCAGGGAACGGGTCCTGACTGTTGTTTGTGCTTATGGGCCAAATATCAGTTCAGAGTACCCACCCTTTTTGGAGTCCCTGGGACGAGTGCTAGATAGTGCTCCATCAGGGGACTCCATTGTCCTGCTGGGGGACTTCAATGCTCACGTGGGCAATGACAGCTTGACCTGGAGGGGTGTGATTGGGAGGAACGGCCCACCTAATCTGAACTCGAGTGGTGTTTTGTTATTGGACTTCTGTGCAAGCCGCAGTTTGGCCATAACAAACACCATGTTGGAACATAAGGATGCCCACCGGTACACTTGGTACCAGGGCAGCCTAGGTCACAGGTCGATGATAGATTTTGTAGTCGTATCATCTGACCTGCGGCCGTATGTTTTGGACACCCGAGTGAAGAGAGGGGCTGAGCTGTCAACTGATCACTACCTGGTGGTGAGTTGGATCAGATGGCAAGGGAACATGCCGCGTAGACCTGGCAGACCCAAACGTATAGTGAGGGTCTGCTGGGAACGCCTGGCAGATGTACCTGTCAAGACGGTCTTCAACTCCCACCTCCGGCAGAGCTTTGACCACCTCCCGAGAGCAGTGGGGGACATTGAGTCCGAGTGGGCCTTGTTCCACTCTGCGATTGTCGAGGCGGCTGTTGCTAGCTGTGGTCGTAAGGTGGCCGGTGCCAGTCGTGGTGGCAACCCCTGTACCCGCTGGTGGACACCAGAGGTTCGGGGAGCCGTCAGGCTGAAGAAGGAGGCCTACAGGGCGTGGCTGGTCTGTGGGTCTCCGGAGGCAGCAGACAGGTACCGGATAGCCAAGCGGAGTGCAGCAGTGGCAGTTGCCGAGGCAAAATCTTGGGCGTGGGAGGAGTTTGGTGAGGCCATGGAGAAAGACTATCGATCGGCTCCAAAGAGGTTCTGGCAAACTGTCCGGCGCCTCAGGAGAGGAAGGCAGCAACTCGCTCACACTGTTTACAGTGGGGATGGGGAGCTGCTGACGTCAACTGAGGCTATAGTTGGACGGTGGAAGGAATACTTTGAGGAGCTCCTCAATCCCACCAATGCGCATTCCGAGGAGGAACCAGAGCTGGGAGGCCTGGGGATGGACTGTCCGATCTCGGGGGCAGAAGTTGCTGAGGTAGTCAAACAACTGCACAGCGGCGGAGCCCCGGGGGCGGATGAGGTTCGTCCTGGGTATCTCAAGGCTATGGATGTTGTAGGGCTGTCATGGTTGACACGTCTCTACAACATTGCGTGGTCATCGGGGGCAGTTCCTAGGGAGTGGCAGACCGGGGTGGTGGTCCCCATCTTTAAGAAGGGTGACCTGAGGGTGTGTTCCAACTATAGGGGGATCACACTCCTCAGCCTCCCTGGAAAGGTCTACTCCAAGGTACTGGAGAGGAGGGTCCGATCGATAGTTGAATCTCAGATAGAGGAGGAGCAATGTGGTTTTCGTCCTGGCCGTGGAACTGTGGACCAGCTCTATACCCTTGCAAGGGTGATGGAGGGGGCATGGGAGTTTGCCCAACCAATCCACATGTGCTTTGTGGATTTGGAGAAGGCTTATGACCATGTCCCCAGGGGCACCCTGTGGGGGACGCTCCAGGAGTATGGGGTGGGTGGCTTTCTGTTAAGGGCCATTCAGTCCCTTTACCAGAGGAGCGTGAGTTTGGTCCGCATAGCCGGTAGTAAGTCGGACCTGTTCCCAGTGAGGGTTGGACTCTGCCAGGGCTGCCCTTTGTCACCGGTTCTGTTCATCACTTTTATGGACAGAATTTCTAGACGCAGCCGTGGTGTGGAGTGTGTCGAGTTTGGTGGCAGGAGAATCTCGTCTCTGCTTTTTGCGGATGATGTGGTCCTCCTAGCTTCATCCAGCTCTGACCTTCAGCTCTTGCTGGGTGGGTTCGCGGCCGAATGTGAAGCGGCTGGGATGAGGATCAGCACCTCCAAATCTGAGACCATGGTTCTCGACCGGAAAAGGGTGGCTTGCCACCTCCGGGTCGGGGGAGAGGTCCTACCTCAAGTGGAGGAGTTTAAGTATCTCGGGGTCTTGTTCACGAGTGAGGGTAGGAGGGATCGGGAGATCGACAGGCGGATTGGTTCGGCGTCTGCAGTGTTGCGGACGCTGAGCCGATCTGTCGTGGGGAAGAGGGAGCTGAGCCAGAAAGCCAGGCTCTCGATTTACCGGTCGATCTACGTCCCAATCCTCACCTATGGTCATGAGCTTTGGGTAATGACCGAAAGAACGAGATCGCGGATACAAGCGGCCGAAATGAGTTTCCTCCGTAGGGTGGCCGGGCTCAGCCTTAGAGATAGGGTGAGGAGCTCGGACATTCGGGAGGGACTCGGAGTAGAACCGCTGC